ATGTGACAGCACTGGAACGATGTGGTACCATATTACAGGTAATTAAATGGAATACTGAAAAACCAGATGTACATACAAACAATACAATATTCTTAGGTATTAGCGTCAGGGCACAAAATCAACACGGAACGGTTTTCAAGTTATTGCATTGAAACAGCAAAGTATCTAGTGGACCTATACCCCTGGTACTACATGCCAGCTTCAGTGCATAAAATCCTGATTCATGGTGCCCAGGTCATCAATTATTTCACGGTTCCTATCGGACAGCTTTCCGAAGAAGCACAGGAATCGAGGAATAAAGACCTCAAACGATACCGCCGAGACCACACTAGAAAATGTTCCAGAACGATCTTGAATCTTGATTTGATTCGCCGTTTGCTAGTGTCTTCAGATCCACTAATCTCAAGCATGCGGAAAAGCCCCAAAAAGGAGACAAAAAATTTGTCTCAAGACGCAAAGTTCTTGTTGAGCTTAGATGATAGAGAAGAAATGGATTCGGAGGATGAACATGATGTTTCAGATGATTTTGAAGTTTAATTTGTCAGAAATTTTTAATTGTTACTTTGGTTTTATGTTTGGATTAGTTTAACATGTTATTTTACTTTTAAGTTAGTTTAAAATAAGTAAAAACAAACTAGAAATTAAACAAAAAATCAAGACCATTGTTAGTTAGCAAAATATCGTTTTTACTTGAATAGCCCCATACAAAAATCTTAAATCTTTGTTTACTAAAATCCACCACAGTTTCCAAGATACTAACGGATACTAATGATCTCCACAACATTTCAAGTACAAATTCTGAGCTTTCAAATGAAACTTGTTGCAAGTGCGGCAATTTGCGGCCAGCTTAGTTATAGCTTTTTGAAAAAGGGTGATTTTTTGCTTAAAAATCACTGTATCTCTCGCCAATCAAATCATAGCACTTTGGTGTCTTCAAAAAAGTTGTGTGTTTAGATATTATCTAAAACTTTGCAGAATACACCAAAGAGATACATAGACATAGAAAAACTCAAACAACTGATTTTAAGGTGCAACTGGCTAATAATCTCTTATATCTCCATACAATGAAGTCATGGCAACTTGATGTCTTCAGCAAAGTTTCTTGAAATTGAAAGCCCTACAACTTTGTAGAAGACATCATCTCGATATCTGTTAATATAAAAAAGTTAGTTTTTTGAAGTGCAGTTGCACCTTAAGAAAAATTAAGGTGAACATTCCAAAAGGTGCGGAATCCAGAACTATGAAAATCTTCTGAAGACAGCTTAATGCTAAAACGTACGTACATCTCAGAAAACAATTAAGTTCACGAATTTGCACTTTTAAACCACTGTGCAATATATTGATCTTTCGAGATACTTTGATAAATCGAATTCTACCACATTTTATGCTCGATACATTCTATGATTTCAAAGCCCTAGAATTAATTAAGTGACAGAGAATAAGGTCACTGGGCCAAATGCTATCGGGATGAATAGGTTTTAAGAAAGAATTGTGAAGAATAAGAGATTTAATTTAAAAATGTTTCAGAAAAATGAACTTGATACAAATGAGAATTAGAGCAAATTGATAATGATATCGGATAAAGAAAATGTGTATTCACTCCATTGTCTAAACTAACATAAACATTAACCTTTCAGTACTCACGCTAATGTACAAAGATAGACACGAAAAAAAAATAAAAAAAAAAAATACTGAAAGATTATTTACTAAAAAGATAGATTCCCAAGATTTGTGTAGAGTCAAAATTTGAGATAAACAACAATTTTCGTGATGCAAGATTTGGAGAAAAAATAGTTAAAATGTGAGAGTTTAAAAATTTCCCAAGATCACAGATTTGAAAAAAAAAATCAAATTTATTAAATAGTCATGCAGTCATAATTGTCAAGGCTCTGAGAATTGGAAGCATTTTAAGGGTTATAACAAATTACAGAACAATCGATAGAATCTTGCGGACGAACCCTGGAATTTTCAGTAAAGTTTAAAAGTATTCAAAGTGTTGATTTCAAACAACTGTTGAAGAGGATTCCCACTTAGTTTTCGAAGGAGAAGTTCTGAGCAGAATTTCCAGAATTATTCTAACAACAAAATTAAATTTTTGAAGTCCTTAAAAATTGTTAGAAGAATTTGGAAGGATTTCTGGGGAGAAGATTGCAAGTTCTAAATTAAATTATTAGGTAATTTTTGAAGAATCCCAAGAGCATTATGGTTAGAATTCAACAAAACACGGAGTTCTAAGAGTGTTCTGGCGATAATTTCAACCCTAGTGTGAAAGAATCATCAAAGAGCTCCAACAAAAAATTTTACAAAAAAATTGCTAATAATTAGAAAGAAGTTCTTTAAAACACTCCAAGGGGTTTCTAAATGCTAAAGTAATTCCAAATTTCGAAAGATTTATGCTCTTTTGAATAGAGTTAAAAGAAAATTTTGAAAAGGATTTCAATGAAATCAAAGTCTCCGAATAGGTTTAAGGGAATTCTAAGACGGATTCCCAAAAATTTCTTAGAAGGGGTTTCAAAGAAATTTCAAAAAGAATTCAACGGTAATTATTACGCAGAGTGTTTTCTGATTACTTTTAGAAGAATTCTATAATAATTCAGAGCAGAATTTCTAGTTCATTCTGAAATTCATATCATGAACATTTTGAATAAAATTAAAACCCGAGAAAAAATAGTTCAGTTTCATTTTTACAAATATTTGTTTCTAAAGTCCAGCATCTTCAAAATTTTGTTTTAAGCCCCATGCACTTTCCATCTGAAATTGAATAGCAAAAATCAATTTGAAATATTGCTGAGTGATTCAATTCTAAAAACATATAAGGTGGAAATCTGAAGACAATTATGCAGCAAATAAAGAAAGACATTTATTTGGTAAAAAATCACTCTGTTTTAATGGTTAATTCTGAAATTCCAGAGTAAAAATTTATTCTTATGGTGTGGATAATATATTTTTCCCGGTTCTCTCATCGAATTCCCTGGTTTTTCCCGGTTTTCCCGGTTACTTTTAAAATTCCCGGATATTTCCCGGTATTCCCGGTTTTCCCGGCTCGCTGGCCACCCTGTCAACAGCATACCGCAAAATGATATATAGAGCTTTTGTAGCTTTTGTTATTAGTTACAACTTTTGTTGACAAGTCAAATCCGTATCTCTTATGCATGACGAAGCAGAGCGAACAGAAGCCACTACTGTTTTTCAGTGAATGTATTTTACATTCACTAAAAAACAGTAACAAGTTCTGCCCGCTCTTGTTCGTGATGCATAAGAGATACAGATTTGAGTTATGAGCAAAACTTGTAGCTAATAGCAAAACCTACAAAAGCTCTATGCATCATTTTGCGGAATGCTGTTGATGAAAAATGTTAGAGGCAAATGAATGTAAATGATTTTCGAACCTGGATGAGTCTATTGGTATACGTCGGGTTTTGGAACGAAATTGTGTTTTTCAAGTGATATCATAGCCTTTCGGTACACCTTGGTGTAGGAGAAAGGTAAAAATGTTGGTATCAGCTAATAGGGTTTTTCTCCCCCAGGTGTGTAATTATTTTGCACAACGTTATGAATATGTTGCTTGATATATCTTATTTTAAAACTGTATTTGTAAAATCGTTACTACAGTATTAGTGTTTAGCGCCAATTCATCGTACTTGGCTTCGTTGTACCATTGTGGAGAGTACCTCGATGATCTTTATTTCGATATTGCTTCCTGTCTGAATCGTTTCAGCAACCCTGATCTGATTCATCAGCACGAAGTGTTTAGAATCGTTTTTTTTTTTTTTTTTGTATAGTCACTTTAACGCTCTTGGGTCATTCGTGACTTGTCCGGGGGAGAGATTTGAACTCGTGACTTTGGCGTGAGAGGTATGGATGCTAACGACTACGCCGGGGTCGCCCCCTAGAATCGTATTAATAAGCTTATAAATTGCGCTTTTGATTGTCTATTTCTCCATATTTAGGAAAGTTGAATCTCTCTCTCAGATTTGCTCGTTCCCCCGCTGCTGGCGTGCAAAAGGACTAGTACTAAGTAGCTAAAGGATTTCCACACTACATGGCATATAAGATCGACTCAAATTTAAGTTTAAATTACTCAAACTCTAGAAAACGTAGTTTACTCGTAGACTGTATAAAATTTTCCGAGCCTCATATTTCATTTCGAATATGACAAAAATCGACGAAGTATACACTCAAAGAATAAATCCAATGGAAAATATTCATTAGAATTTCACATAACTTTCATGTGATATCATAATTGGGAATTGCATCACAAAATCACACGAACCTTATGTGTCAAATGAAATTTAAGTGATTTATCATATTGAACTCATGTGATCACATGCATGTTATGTGAAATTCAGATAGATATCATTGGTTTTGTTAATGGAAAATATGATGTGCATTCCCAATGGAAACGAGATGTTGCTCATATTAGAAAACAAATTCCTTTAAAAGTAAGGGAAGTTTTACTCACTCTATGAGTTAAATACGCTTACAAGAATATGAGTGAACTAATCTCAATTGTGAGTCGACCTCATTTGTCACGTAATCGTAATTTATTTTTCTTTTAATTGCTTTTAACGTATACGGCGTAAATGGATGCATTCCAAACTCCAATTAGGTTCAATTCGTTAAATGCAGGTCTTTTTTGTTCGAACATGACTTTTACTGACACTTCGAATTTCGCATCTATTTCAAGACCCCCCCTCTCTTACACGCAAAACTTCTGCTTATTTTATGCAGCTCAATTACAAAAATTTATAAAATTCACAGACATTTTTCGCAGACTTCTGAAAACAAAATCTGGCATCTCTGCATCTTTGAGTATTCTGAATTCAAATTTTTATGGATTTTCTTGTACATACCATTTGCACAATGTAGGTAATTCAATGCAACTAGCGTTTTTACAGGAAAACACAAATGGAAATAAAATGCAAATCAATAAATGTTTCCATAACTTCAACATTTCCCAGTTGCCATATCAGAGCATTTCAAAGGTAAAACATAATTACCTTCTAACGCTGCTTGCACTGACACACGCTGTCCGCTCCTCCTAACACACGAATCACAATGCAGATGACGAAAGCTCTCCTCCGTCGTCGTGCACCTCTTGACCTCCTGTATGTTTTTTTTTTCTACGAATCCTTTTTCCTAATAACGCTTAGACTCGAGCACTTGCGGAAAAATGGTTCTGCCACCGGGCCGCAACGTTGACGATGAAGGCGACCAACTCGACGATGACGACGACTCCTTTCGCATTCATATTCGTCGTTTCCGTCGTCGTCGTCGTCGTCGTTCCGCTTGATTTACAGTTTCGCACAACCTTCACCTTCCTGCACTGAGAAGACGAACGGAGGACGAACGTTGCTGCTGCTGACGATGCTTCTTCCTATCTGCGACCACACCACCGACACTGCGGAGGAGATCCACTGAATAAATCATCCACTTTTTCCGTTCACTTTTTGCCTCCTTGGCTTCTTGGTAGCAAGCTCGAATAGTAGCTTCTTTTAATTTCTTCCAACGGAGCTACCCCGTTCTTATTTTTTGCAACACTTTTTCCAACAAACACGTTTCAATTATATTTTCTTTATTCTCATATCTATTATGACTTCTTTGCTTTTCTTTTCTTTTTCTCCTCCTCCGGCCGGAGCAACTTCTTCAGCAAAAGGATATTATTTTCTTACTGCACTCAATCCCAACAATGACTGACAGCTACGTGAAGCACACTTGTCGTATAAAATATTCATGATATCCCGGCTCACTTTCTCGGAGGCAGTCGCAGAAAAATGGTCCTTGCTGGATTACCACCCACCAGCTACCGCATCCCGCATGACACCAGGATCACGGTACACCGGAAGAACTTTGCTCTTAAGGTAATGGTGTGTAGCTGCCGGCTCCGGCTCCACGATAACAACAACAACAACACCGACAATGATCACACCAAAGAACAACACAAACTCGAGATAAAGAATTAATAACGAAACTTTCGCCCGCCTCTCGTTTGGCGGCGGCGTTGGTTCATGAAACCACCCGCCACGGGTGCAACAAAGACGACGAACAGGTGTACCCCCACGATGGGAAAGCAGCTTCGAACGCGCACCCCGAACCGATCTAAGATTTCAACCAATCATTCCGACACCCACGCCCGGCTTACCTATTCTTTGACAAACAACCTCTAGCTCCACCAATCACCGTAAAATTGCGCCTATCGAATTTTCCTCACCCCAACACGGTAGATCATCCGGTTGTTATTCTTCCAATTCGTCACCCAAAGAATAGCACCACTTCTGATTTTCCACCCACAAAGAACACGAAATCGCCGTTTGAATTCCGTTGCTTCCGCTTCCGAAAAACGATCCAATCGGATTGAAATCGCGCCGTCAACTGCTGACTGGAGTAGGACTTTTTCCCTGGCTCCCCTCGGTGTTAGGAAACGACGATAACTGACGGACGACCGCGAGAAGGATTCTGTGATTCCGTGCCGTCGTGGTCGGGGAATATCATCAAAACATTACCCATACTGAGTGGTGCGAGCGGCGAGCACAACGTGCTTTTGGGGATTGGTTTTCTCTCTCTCTCTCATGCTCTGCGGAGAGAATCCTGGTACACGTTGCTGGTGGGCATTGATGGTGCTCGCACCGGGAAACCAGTGGAACTGCTCTTGCGCATGTCCCGAGCGAGACGGCAGCATGTCGTATTGGTGTTGTTGGGGAAAAACTCTTGACCGTTGCCGGGAAAAACGTGGCATCTTTGAAGGAAATCTAAAATTTCTCATAAATTTTCCATGAAAATTTAGTCAGCTGAAATTCTTAAGCATTAATCTGTATTTGAATCGAAGTTTATAGAACGAAATCTCATACAAAAACGTCAAATAATGAGTGACAACTGGCCGCCCAACGCGTGTCGGGCAACTGTCACAATCGAATGCCGCCCAAAACGGGGGCGGCGTGTTTTCGCACTGAAGCCGTCGCAACTAGCAGTAAACTTCCCCTTTCATCGGGCGGCTGCTGAAAATCAACGATGAAGGGTGTTCATTTCACTTCAGTCGACTCGGAAGAGCTCGAATCGAAGGAGGAGAGTTGTTGCACGATATTGTGAGAAAGGGAAAACTGATAGTCGGCGGTTGTTAGTACGGTTGGTAGTCTTTTGACACTGTAGGATGGAATTGGGTCATTTGAGTGAGCAGTAATGCTATTTGGAATATGGAAGGACGGATGGAGATGATGTGTTGTACTTACGCTTAGACGTTCACAACAGGTTTGCAGGACTCACCTGAAATGGAAATTAATAGATCGTTCAATTAGTACGCTAAACTTCTTTAAGGACAAGGTAAATAGAATTCACAAATAGTCGTTGTCAGGCTGATTAGCCTTTTAAATATCAGCCATGATTGGGGTCATTTGTGGCATCTAGTAATCATTTCGTTATGCATCATAGATCTGAAATACCAATACCCTTAATTACACGTTGTTTTTATGGAATGCCAATGCCTGATTCATTTTCAAGCGGCTCTGGCGTTGTCGGAACCATCTTGGCATTTTCAAAATAAAGGTATTCTTCGATACAATCGATGTAAATATTTACATTATTTGACAAATCTCAGGTAATCATAACAGCAGTTGGTCTCTTTTCTTCATAATCAAACGCAATTATTACCTGGGTTTTGACGTAGGACTACGTCTTTGATTTCTATATGGGGGTACACTTTGTGAAAACCGAAAATGGAACATGTAACAAATTAAGAAAGATTTTGAACGTTAATAACTCAGCTTCCCCTGGTCAAATTTTTAATAATTTTATCACCAATCGATTAGAAATATGGCTACGCATTGATAACAATGCTTCCGAATGTTGATTTTCAACAAGAAACTATTGAAAAACTGGTAAATGTTTAGCATTGTCCAAAAGCGTCGAATTAACTAACAAATCCACCAATTACCTACATACATATGCTGCTTCCCCAGCACAGTCGTCAGAGAGTAGTAAGTAGACGAAACAAGTCGAAGTGGCATTCGCCTCCGATCCTCGTTTCTGAAAAATGAGATCTGTGATGCTGTCACCTACACTAAACACGCCAAGCATAAGCGGCCATGGATGTCATCTACGTTTTGAAGTGACAGAGACGCACTCTGTTTGGTTTCAGAGGTTAAATCATCACCAACATTGGAAACAAAACGGCTCTTTTCAGGGCCACCAAGCTTATTACAGTAAAGAGTAGGAATAGAGTTCATCTGCCTGTTTGTCCATATTCAGAACCACCAACCACACAAAATGCTCATGTAATCAAACTGGAAGCAGGGATACAAATTGTTTTGATCAACCTTGATCAACTTTGAATCGCCACGGCCGGATATTTTCGATGGAAGAAGCAACAATCTAGCATCTCATTCGACGAAGACGGCAGGAAACATTTCTGGATCAACAATAGAATAGGGCCAATCAGCATTTGTAAGCAAACCGTTCCAAAGCCTCACAAATTGAAGGCCGCTCACACAAACCAACACCAACATCTTGTATCTTGTTTTCCGTACTGAGCTCCAATGCTACCGACGCCAGGGAGGCAGCTCCCAGAGATGTTATGCCTTAGAACATGCCGATGGCACCGACTGAGATTGGACCCAGGCCTGCTGGGGTGAAAGGTAATGACGCTAACCACCGGCGCCAATATCTATCACGGCGAATGAGAACGACCCAAATTTGAGTTTAGTTATCTCAGAAATAAGTGCAGGAACTCAGCGATGAGTAAATATTCTTCATGTTTTCCCAGGTTTTTCCAGGATTTTCCAGGGAAAAATTCCCGAATTTGAGAAAAGTAAAGATTGGATTCACTCAGTCTATTGGTTCTACTCCGAGACTGAATAAAATTTTCGTCAATTTCCTCATTTTCTGGCAGATTTTTTAGGTTTTCCACAGGAAATCATGAGACAAATTTACTCATCGCTGAGTTCCTACACTTTTGGCGATTATGAGTGAACTAAACTCAAATTTGGGGCGTTCTCATTCGCCGTGTACGCAAAAAGAAAATAGCCAGTGTCGCTACTTGATAGCAAACTACTCATAATGGGAGGAGTATTTGTAGCTTTTATACCACTTGGTTGCACATCATTCTGCTTTAACCTAAAAAGATATAAAGCAGCGCTGCTGTCTGGTATCAGCTCATCATCATTCGCTGCCAGACTGTTGAGCAGTTCAGTCGATTTGAATTCTCTCTAGTTTCGTTCGTTCGTTCGCAAGTCGAATTAGCTCCGCGTTGTGTAGTGACGCTCTCGCTGACCCAGCCATGGGTAAGAAATCGCGCGGTAACGCGAGTGCCGGTTTACCGGGAAAACAGACTCTCCCAGGAGATGGCGCGACCACCGAGCCAGCCCAGAAGAAGCAGAAGAAAACCCCATTGCCCATCCCGACAGGCATTGCGGACCCGCAGCCGGGGCCTCCCGGAACTAAACGACCCAGACCTGAAGACAGCAGCGCCACCGCATCGGCAGCAAAAAAGCTGCTGAGCAACAATCCGTTCTCCGCCCTGCAGAACGGAGCCCAGCCGCAGTCGGACCCTGAGACGGTGCCGAAAAAAGTTAAGTTGCCACCCTTCTATGTGAAGGGCTTCCCTCCCGGGCTATGGGAGCAGCTGGATTTCTACATTAAGCAGGGCCTTCGCTGCACCATTCAACGGTGCACGGAAGGCTACAAACTGATGGTCCCGGCCGAAAAACACTTTAACGCAGTTCAGGCCCTCTTGGACAGAATGAAGCTGGAGTACTTCTCCCACGACATCGAGGCCACCAAGCCGCTGAAAGTGGTGCTGCGCGGGCTCCACGACATGGACACCACCACCTTAATGGACGAGATTAAGGCGAACGGCCTCAAGCCGGTCGAAGTCCACAAGATGACCCGCAGCAAGGCCATCAAGTATCGTGACCAGCTCTACCTGGTCCATCTGGAGAAGAACTCCACAACCGTGAAGGATCTCCAGACGACACGCACACTGTTCCACATCGTAGTGAAGTGGGAGCGGTATAAGCCCACCCACCGTGGCGTCACTCAGTGCTCGAACTGCCTATTGTTCGGGCACGGCACCAGGAATTGCCGCATGGCCAGCCGCTGCATCAAATGCGGCAAAAACCACAAGATCGACAACTGCGACAGCATCGAGGAAGCCACTCCCACATGCGCCAACTGCGGTGCCGCCCACAAGGCCACGAGTAAGGCCTGTCCGAAGCGGGCCGAATACGCCGAGATCCGGAAGAAGGCCTCGTCCAACAACCAGCCCGGTCGCAAGAAGGTTCCAGAAAACAACGCGCAGAACTTTCCTCCGTTATCACCGGTCCAATCACGGCCAATTCCAGTGTTGCCGCCGCTCCCGCTCAACCAACAGTTGGCTGCCGCTGCAGTACCCGGTCAAGCCTCCGGGCCATCGACGGATCCCCCTGCTCCGGGATTGGCCGGTACAACCGGCGAAGCTACAGACGATTCTCCGCTGTCAACGGATGAGATCGTCACACTGTTGGCCCAGGCCATCATCATCAAGCGCACCTGCGCAACAAGAACACAACAGCTCCAAGCTATCATCTCCTTCGTCGCTAATTATGGACCGTGAACCCATAAAGATCGCCAACTGGAACGCTCGCTCCGTAGGGGCGAAAAACATTGAGCTTGCAGACTTCCTCCGCAAGCACGACATCGACGTGGGCCTTCTCACCGAGACCCACCTCAAGACCGGTGACAGCTTCTGGCTGCCCGACCACAGCATTGTCCGGCTTGATCGCACCAGCTCCAGGGGGGGCGGTGTCGCGGTCATCATCAAGAAAGGCATCAAGTACTGCACCCTACCCCACTACCGCACTTCCATCATCGAGGCCGTCGGCGTTGAGGTGGAAACATCGACCGGAAACGTCCGGTTCATCGTTGTCTACTGCCCCCGGCAATGTACCGTTAGCAATGGTACAGCACAGCAGTTCAAGAACGACCTTGCCATCATAACCCGCACCAATGCCCGCTTCGTAATCGGAGGGGACCTG